GTTTCACCTTTCAGAATTTGACTTTCACAGTGATAAAATAAGCAGACTGTATGACATGGAACATTCACTTCCTTCAGTGAACAGTACTGACAGGGGAGGTCAGTTTGACTCATGTGGGTAGAAGAAAAATTATGATATAAATAAATACAGTAAAAGAAAACATGACAGACTCTCACAGGGCAAGCCAGACTGCAAGAACCAATTTGATCAAAATCATAAACTGTCAGAGCTCAACTACTTGCTTTTTTCTCTAAGTTACTTATGTTCCACTCCTGGTAAACCAATTCCAACAGACCAGGTCAAGATATATATATAGATATTTATATATATATATATATACACACAACGAGCAGTGTGGCTATCAGGGACAGGTTCCATGAGCTGAAGTCTCCCACTCCTACCTTGAAATGACACCATTTAATTATGCAAGTAAAATTCCTCTGTACTAGCCTCACCTTCAATTGCCTTTCCCATAACTGTATGCAAGACTTCCCTGTTGTTTCTGTGGCCTCACATTTATGAGGAACAGAGGAAAAAAATATTTATAAATTAAGAATTGAAAGAAAGCTAAATGCGTTGGAAGGGAGGAGCCATGTTTTGATTTTTTTTTTTTTCCTTCCTCCTGAGTCTATTAAAAAAACCAACCAAGTAAAACCAAGTAATTGTGAATCAGTGGGAAGGTGCATGCAAGGTGTTCGAACACTTTCACATGTAGAAGGGCAGTCTCAAATTCCATGTGACTCATTCTGTAAGAAAGACTGAGAGCCTTTTGGCTCTATTTTGAGAGAAGTGGGTAGACATCCCTGACGCCCAAATGACCATAAGATATGATGCTGACAAAGTCAAAGGCCTTATAAGTCCAAGGAAATGCCAACCTCCTCACTCCCTCCCCCACCAAACCACCAAAAAGCCCAAACTGAATAATGCAACAAGTTAATCCAACAAGTTAGACAGAAAAGCAGGAGCATGCTGGTACAGCCTTTAAAGAGTTCTAGCATAAATATTTCTCGTTATGCTTTGTGTCCCTTCAAAACACATAGTACCATGAAATTCCACATCAAAATAGTGTTTGTGGTTCCAAGATGCTAATAAATACATATCCACAATCTCTGTAGTAATGTGAATTTAGATACAAAATGGGTGAACACTTCTGAGGACAAGCAGAAACAGATCAACCCACCCAAGGCCCCACAGTTTATGACTCATACCTAAATCAAGATCTCAAGTCACAGTCCACTGCTCTAACCACAATTTCATATTTCTTTCCTTCTACAGTAGAACAAAAATGGTTCAATGTTGTCTTTATGTGATCTACAGAAGCTTGTTCAAATCTGCACATCTGTCACCTTGCTCAGCACAAGAATTCAAAGCTTCAGTAGAAAATTAGAAGAATCAGTAAAGTTTAATTGCGAACAACCTCACACTTCAGACATCTCACTGAAGTAAATGAGAGTTGTAACATGCTTGTACACAAGTTTAACACCAGAGGCCTGACTTGAAAGTGGATGTTTTCTTCCCATAGTATCCTGTGCACACACTTGTCTACTTTACCATCTCAAAACTTCTTTCATTCCCTCAAGACCAGTTCCTCTGCCTTTGGGTATATATTGTAGTTACAGACAAGCATCTGGAGATTTAAGAAAATTATTTCTATTTTCTTGAATATACTAAGCTATAATTTTCTGTATTTCAGCAGAAATGTCACAAGATGATCTGGTCATACAGCCACAGGAACTTCACTGGTAAGTAAATAGTTATAGTCAGAAACTCATCAGTGTCATATTCTACATTTTTCTGCTTTTGAAAATCAGAACCAAAACAGAACAATCACATCTTTGGACTTGCTTAGACTGCAATTTGACTACACAAATTGTTCAGTACAATACAAATTGCTTTGCCCCTGCTTCTTTGCGTCTCTATACTGAAGACCATTTTTGTTGTAATTACATTTAAAGAACTGTTTGTGAATCTATACCACAGATTAAATCAGGGAGCTGACCTGCTTCTCAGTACAAGCCTGCAAATAGTTGTGTAAGCACAACTGCAAGATAGTGCAAAACCAGTAGAAATATTCTAAAGTAATTTTCCTAACAACATTTTAAACCAATTTGCCTTAATAAATTTTGTTCCTCTGCTGCCAGTGCTGCAAGTGAAGCCAGTTTAAAGAAAACCATGTACTGCAAGCAATTTTTTTTAACCATTCATGTTTTAGATTGTTGAAGAGAACAAAATTAATTATTTTCTGTAATATACATAGCATATTAATGTACCAAAAAGTCACTTAAAAACCAAGTCACTGTGCCCACCCACACTAAACAACGTTTATAGAATCCTTAGTCTTATCTAAACATCCATGAATAAGAATAAATAATAAGGTTTATCATTAAATAACCTAAAGGTTTTGTTTATGCTGTCTAAGAAGTACTATCAGAATTTTGAAAAGCTGGTTGTGGCAGTGTATATGTCTAATAGTTTAATGAAACTACAGATCTTTAATACAAGTATAGGTTGAGAGGAACATGGAATACAAATATGCAAATCCCCACCTCCTAAAAAAAGAAAATTACTTTCAAAGATTTGGGCCACTTTAATAAATGAACATGTCTAGCATGACAGTCCTGTGTTCCAGTACAGCTCTCTCCTTCCTTTCCTTCTCTAGTTACATATAAATTAGAGGGTACTTGAGCAGTTCATGGTCCACCAATAAAGATGCTTTGAAGAAAATGGGGGGAAAAAAATAAAATCCCATCAAGGAATTATCAGCACAAGTTTAGAAACCAAGTTGTTGATTCATATCATGTTTTCTTCAAAATAAAAAAACTTTCTTAACCGCTGCTGACTGGAAGCTCATCCTATGCATCATTATTTTGCTGCTAGAAGTCAGAGAGACACACCTAGAGGTGAACTTTCTGTAACCAGGAGCCTGAAATGCCTCATACCCTTGGTCCCTCCAAATCAGGGCTGAGGTTAGCAAGGGGCCAGTTTTAAACAGATAAATAAATTTGTATCTGATCTGTGTTTAAGCAGAGGACTTCTGTTTCTAGGACAGCTAGCTCCTCAACTGATTAACAAACTTCAAACTGTTTTTCCACTTTTATGAAACTAAACAAATGTTTTATTCTGAAAAAAAGTGTTAAGCTGAGAAAAATAAAATGGAAAACCCAATACTGCTTCAGAGTGAACTCTCAGCCACAAGCTGAAAGCTTGGAAAGCTTATGGAGGCAGACCTGGGAGGGGCAGGAGGAGGTGGGTTCCAGAAGATGGCAACAGGGTGAACAATATTACCTAGCTTTAAAACGGAGGGAAAACACAAAAACTGCAGCAGATGTAAATAAGTCAGATTTTAAATTTTTTTTAACTAGAAAGCCTACAATAATTTACGAGTACTTCTAAAAAATATGACATAA